TCCCACAAACTTATCCTAGCAATAGTGATGCGGCGTATTTCGGAGTATTCATAAATCCATTTACAACCGGTGGAACGTTTTCCCTTGGTTTTGTTCTTAACTTGAAAAACGAAAGTCTGCAGACAGTTTGGAAGCATGAGAGAGTACATGATACGTTCAGCGGACATTTGAAGGATTAAAACGAAATGAAAGTGAAGCGGCGGAATAAAACCAGTGGAAGTTTTTGGCAGCCCAATATTTAGGCAGGCCACCCTTGTCAGTTGCAGCAGCAGTAAGTGCCACTCTAGGTTGTCTGCGTAGGCGTCCCAACACACCATGACAAATGGGACAGTACGCTGTCGTGCGCATGCGTTTGACACCAAACAGGCCAGTGGGTTGTTGGGATAAGCAACCTTCAAATTGTACACCTCAATCAGTAACCATGAATAAGGGGACACCAAAGTTGGCTATCCAGTGAGTTACCAGGACTTTAGCAACTGTCTGGGCTAAAATGTCTAGTAGTGGAACAGCGAAAGACCAGAGGGTAAATTTATCTATGCACGTAAGGAGATAGTCGAGACGTTGGAGGGAGACAGCGGTTCAGCTACATCCACGTGGATATACTCACATCTACCAGCTGAAGTAGGAAAGCGACTAAATGGAGCCTTACTGTGACGATGGACTTTTGCTCATCGATGTGCAAAACATGGTCACGTCCGATGTTTTGCCCCGCGATTTACATTTCTTATTAGGCTTCATCATGACACCAATTTCAGGGTGCGATAGGTAGTGCACTTTACCAAACACGGTGTGTCTCATTACTGTAGGAACAAATGGTCGAAATCTTCCGGCGGATCTGCCACACATAACTCTGACGGTATTGTGCCGCGCTTAGAAGGAAAGTAGGGAATTCGTTGTCGGAGACGTTTCCAAGTCATCCTTTCATGGCTTAGGCGGGCATCAGTAATCAATGTCCGGTCGTAGCGTGCTACTGACGTGTGCTCATGACAATGCATCTGCACCTTCACTGTACTGAATATCAGAAGCTAACAGCAATACCAGCTCTGGTTTCATATTTTACGCTGGAGAATAGCTGTCTCGTTTCCCTAATATGACCCTGCCCAACAACTTGTGGTCTGTGAAAACTGCAGAAATGGTACCCTGCAGCATATACCTGAAGTGTTTAATAGCTAGGTACACGGCCAGAAACCCCCTACCGAATATGCCGCAATGGAAATGAGTTTGGCTCAGACACTGGAAGGAATGCTGCTGGTTGCCATCCTCAACCTACCTTCTGCTGTAAAGCTGCTCCAATATTATACTAGAGGGATCTGTCATTAGTGATAATGGAGTCTTTGCGTCTCTCCTGAGGAGAGTGGTCGTTTCATTTAGCAGTTGCTTAGCTTCTCTCAGCTGCTGAACGGCTTCCGTAGACAGATGGAGGGGGCAGGAACGTCGACGTAAGCAATCGGTTAGTTGCTGTAAAACAGCGGAGCAGCTCATGATGAAACGACGGTACAAGCTGACCGGTCCCAGGAAACAGAGTAGTTTCTCAAACGGCTTTAGTAGTGGGTGGCCTTTTACAACTTTTACTGCATCTGGAGCTGACTTAATACCTTGCTTGTCGAGTAGGTGTTCTAGGGATTTGAATGAGCCTTTTCCAAGTTCTCATTTATCAGGACTAACTACTTCCACGAACTTTTCGAGCCATTCAAAGACGATACTCAGATGGTTCAGGTGTTCCGTCTCACCTCAACTGGCGAAGAGCAAGACATCCATGTAAGTACATATGAGTCCATGGAGAACCTGATCTGTGAACCACTGAAATAACTGTGCAGCGTTAGCATCCGAATAAATTCGTACGTCTCGAAGGGGTGGTAATGGCTGTCTTTTGGATACCCTCGAGATTAATAGGGCTAGAGTGGCAGGATCTAAAGAGATCTGTCTTTGAAAATACACCAAAGTTGGACAGATTATTGTGGAACTCATGTGCGCGGTGTAGTAAACATCGATAAAAGGTCGTTTGTTTGTTGAGAGCTCGGTAGTCACCACATGGGTTGGCGTCAGAAGAAAGCTCCTCCAGTACCATTTGGGGCGATAAAGACCATGCGATAATGAAAGGTAGGATGATACCAAGCTCAAGCACTCTGTCAATACCTGCATTGGAATTCTCAAGCCTTTAAGAATCGAGGTGTGTGGGACGTGCAAACTCTGGTGGTGCGTTTGTTCGGATATGATATACGACGTCTTGTCTTGGACCTGTTTAAAAAACATTCGTGTTGCAGTCGATCAAAAATGAGATAAGCAGCTTGGTGTATAGCGGGTTGGCCACATAAACAACCGATGACTTTATAGATGTTGGGTCAGTTACCGTGCAAATGACATGGTCTATACAATTTGATCAGTCCGAGGATCTTTAGATAGAAAAAACAAGCCATGAGGGCATAGAAAAACAGTTCCAACAAGTTGTTAGGCATATCTACCAGAATCGATGACCAACAGCAGATAAGAGGAACGAAATCCAATTTCACGGCTTTTAACTATCAGCAACTGTATTCAAAAGCCAGCGAGAAAAAGCCAGAGAAGCGCAAAGATGTTAAAGCCAGCAGACGGAACGATGGTAAATTTCGAAATGCCAGGGTCTTTTCTGGCACAAAAACAAAAAGAGCGCAGAAGACATCAGTCCACACGAAAAAAAGGACTGTTGAATGAAATTCAATCGAAATAAGAAAGGAGAATTCAAAGAGAAAAATAAACTGTGAGTAAAAAACTTCGAATTCACAGAAAACGATTCAAAATATGAAACAAAAAACGGCGTAAAAAGTGAATTAGTAAACAGCGATAAAAATTAAACGGACAAAAAGAAACAAACAAAGTAAACAAACGAAGTAAATTTTAACCTAAGGAAGAAAGAGATAAACAGAAGGCCGATGAAAAAGTAAGTCGGTAAACACCTGACGACATATTCTTTTAGGATGCCAATGTTGAGGATGGAGAGAAATCTGAGGAGAAAGAGTGGGAAGTCGTTGATGCTGTTTAATTCGGGATATTGCATTTACTGTGAAGCATTCGGTTACTAACCCTCTTACGGATCTACATCATTTTATCGAAACAACTTTGCCATGCACTTCAAATATACTGCATAAGTTTTTCAAATTCAGGCTTCTGAGAGTATTCGTTCCGTGGTGTCTGTGCGTGTCGTATGTCACGCACGTGAAAAACGTTCCCAGTTGTCTAGTCACATATCTGCCTGTCTCCGATTTTAGGGGGAACACTAGTGGTCGGTGTTAACCCGCATCAATGAATCCACTAAATCGTGTTAGCACTTCTGGTACACACGTGCTTGTAGTGATTCAACTTGTAAGTTTGGAAGGTGTGACTGGTGGGCGAATCGCATAGCTGGCGTACTACCTACAGGACGAGCTTGATTCGCAATTGCAGGGGATGGCTTGTTTAGGGCACTTTCGACACTAGGATAGGAACAGCAAAGTTCTTAAGGTTTCAGGAATGACTAGAAGGTCAGTTTTGAGCAATGATGAGAATAGTAGGCCAATTCGGCCGCAGTTTATCCCATGAGTATTGTTGGTTTGAAGAGGTTCAGTGATGTGACGCTGCGATGAGCAGACAGCTGGGTGGTCGCATTCTATCGCAGGTTTAACCCGCACCTTGCAAGTACGCGTCTTGCGTGCAAGAGTAAGTTTGTCGCTACGCGTGACCACTCGATTGGTTTTATATTCAGTTTGGGAAAAATGTCGCACTGCATAGGATAGATATTATAATGTGTCTCGGAGAATCGCATAGGATTCAACGTAGACGTTGGCGTACAAGATTGTCCGGGGAATGCCTTCACGATAAGGGTAATATAGTCCGAGTAAGATGGAATGTGATCTGCTTTGATACTGATGACTAGTGGGACTTCTCAAGGCGTGGTGCTGGGGTCTGCTTTGTTCCTGCTCTATATTTATGAATCTCCAGGATTGCCTGAGTCGTTGTCCCAACTATTTGCGGGAGACGTTCAGTTTTGGAGGACTTCGTGATAATGATGATAAGTCAGCACTCCAAACTAGCTTCGATTAAATGACGGATAATTTAGACGTTGTAGCCTGCAAATCAACTCCGACGAAAGCAAAGTGGAGCACCTTGGTCCAGAGTCATATCACTCTTATTCACAAGGTCGGGGACACTGCCCTTCAATGGGGAACAAAAAGAATCAAGGGGTTACGGTTGGCCACAAGTTGGAAGTGTCGGCACGCTGTAATGTCGACTCGGTCAATGCATTCTGTGTGCTACGGTATCTTGGTAGGGCGTTTAGGTGCTTGACGAAGAAATATTTAGGATAATAGCCTGGATACATAGGGCCTAGCCAGAAGTGGCACGCAAGTAAACAGCCTTTGCCCAGAGTAGCAGGCAGACACCGTGAAACGTGTGAAACGAGTGGGTGCCAAGCTAGAGACGGGGCCTTGGCGCACCTCCCCTGTTTAAGGTGATCGGAATGTTTGAATCTTCCATTTTCATATCACAGGAAAGGGGGAAGATCTCATATTGGTGCATCGTATCCGGAATGACGGTTCGGGCGTCAATTTCTGAAGTTTTTTCTGCTCTGCAATTGATTATTCAGGATGTCATGACAAAAGGTTCAAAATCCACTGCCGAACAAACTATGAGTTGAGGCCAGATTCTCTCACAGGGTAGTCAGCGATTGGAACCTATTACCAAAATTTGTGATAGATGCTCGGTGAATACTTTAAAGAGAAAACTGGATCTCCAAAATGTCAAGATGGATACAGGCTACTGAGCCTATTATCCATAAAAGTGAAAAATTGAAAACTGGCTTATTTGCTCCAGATATTCTTTCTCACGATGGGGTTTCTTCAGTCAAAGAAGAAGATTATTAGACCTGGTTTCAAGCACAAAATAAACCCAGGTGGTTATTTTCACAGGTCGACTCGTTGTCCAGGCATCGAACATTGGATGTTGAAACTTCTTACACTCTGTGGCCTGTGTTTTAACCTTCTCACTTCAGTCACATCATTTCCGCTGGTACTAAAATGGCGAGTCGATGGAGTCGTAATGGTAAAGATAGTTTCATTCTTCCATCTTACTTTTCCATTATTATTTGCTTGTACTAATTTCGAAAAATGTTTTTAGCACCTTATGGTGGTGGTGCAGGTGGCGGCGGTAGTGGTGGCTATATGGGCTCTGGGGTTGGAGGTGTAGGATTCTATATGGGTGGACCTTCACCGATTGACCGTAGACCTTATAATGCTGCCTCCATTCCTAAGCCTTTCTATGGTGGATATCGGGATGATAACTACAATAGACGATCGGACCGACGTGACGATTTTCGTGGCGGTAAGCGTGGTCAGCCGAAAGGTCGTAGTCCGGAGAAACGTTACCATGACAGTCCGTCAGCCCAGCGTAAAGACCTCAGACCTTATGGGAAACGTCAGTCATCCTTTGCACGCTATGAAGTGAAGATTCCGAAAAGTCTGTTCAATGTATCATCGTCATCACTACCTGATCTTCGACATCGCTACCCTCGTCTCAATATATCTGCAGACTTCTACGAATGCACATCCTCATGGGTGGATTCATTCCCCATGCACAAGCCGTTTGAACTAGGAAGTGGGACTGATTACCATGTAAGTCTCATCCATATGTTGTGACGTCTCCACCAGGTTTTCCATCGGGACGTTGATCCTCCCACTCAGCCCGACTCCGCTCTCCTGGTTCCTCCTGACGCCGACTATTCCTACTCAGCTAGGGTTATGCTAATGGCATGCCCACAACTCGGTGAGTTATATAAGAATACTTGTCGTATGGCCGACGATGCTAGTGGAGCTGACAAGGTTCTTCCCGACAAGAGTATACACTTCTTGGTCGGTGGTCGTGCGAAAAGTGAGACTATGGCCCTTGGTGGACCCTGGTCACCAAGCCTAGACGGACCCGATCCGCTGGGAGATCCAAGGACACTTATCAACACAGCTATCCGGACGTTCAAAGGCTTGACTGGATTAGACTTGTCCTCTTGCACCGAATGGTTATTCCAATTAAATTACCTATTTACACTTACTTTGCAGGGTCAGGTTCATGGAGCTCAAGTATTATCGTATGCCTGACACCAAAGCCCCAGCTTTCACAGAAGCTGAGGAAGAAAGAGATATCACGTCAGAGCGTCCCGAGGTTGTGGTGTTCTTCATACCTAACGCAGCTCATCTACTTCCATCAGAAGAACAGTGGGCTAAAACCAAGGAATACTACAACTCTATACTACAGAAACTGTTGACCGATGAAAAGGCTGAGCAGGATGGAGTGCCTGAGCAGGCAGATGGAGAGGCAAGCGTTGCAGATGCGAGTATGGATGAACCTGAAGAGTCGGGCACACGCTCAGATATGGAGCCAACCCACTATTCGAAACTCGATGTAAATACCTTGAAGGTAAGTTATTGCTCACCGCCTGACGTTCTTTTCAGGTTAATGACTTGCGTAACGAACTGGCGGCTAGGAAGTTGGATACTAAGGGCCTTAAAGTTAATCTAGTGGCCCGCTTACAGAGTGCTCTGGATGAGGAGAAGAAAGCAGATGCCCCGGAAGATTTACAGGTTGATGAGGAGTCCAAAGGTAAATGATGGCAGCTTTTGCGCGCTCTTTTGCAGTAATTAAGAGTTAATAGGACCACAAGAACGGCTGTGGATGTTTTTATTGTGATAATTAACCAAACAAATGGTTATGAAACTCATATCGCCCTTCTTTCTGCTTGTATTCAGCCGAACAGACTCCGAATAAGACCGCTTCGCCGTCTGCGACGCAATCAAAGGATGATTCAAAGGATCTCTCTGAAAAAGAACGCCGGCGTCTGGAACGCCTCTACCGTCTTGGTGATAAGCCAGCCATCGTAATCCATCCAAACAAGTCCGCTAAGGGAGGTCGTTTCGACTGCCATCGTGTTTCTTTGTTCTCTCTCCTCGACTATCGTACCGAAGACCAAAAAGAGCACAACTTTGAAGTGTCCCTGTTCGCTGAACAGTTCCATGAAATGCTCCAGCGAGATGCAGCCTTCACAATATTCAAGGCGATTCACGATGCGCCTGAGAAGGAAATTAAACCTGAACAAGATGGAAAGTACGACGATATTCTGCGTAACGTAGATGTATTTAGGTCACAATTATTAATTAGTTGATCTGCCCTTCCAGATTGTCGTTGTCCAATAGCTGGCGCGTCATGATTGGATAGGCATTATGTACTATGCATTTTTCATGTTCCTCCTGTCTCTTTTCCAGACATAATGCAGATTTCTATTTTACAGACTGGAGAATGGCATCGATTCTGACGACAAAGAACCTGATGCCAAGAGGCGCAGAAATGACAGTCAGAATGGTCACGATGACGACGAGGATGCCAAAGTGCGTCGTCTCAGGCGTACTGTCAACCCAGCCCTCCTATTCGCGTTCACTTACTTCGATATGGGCCGTGCTGGGTATATTCGAGAACATGATTTGTGCGAAATTCTCCATCTCTTGGGTCTGAGGTATTCTCGCGCTCAGGTGAGTTGACTTTTTATGATAAGCTAGCGGCCTGACACAAGGTGCCCCTTGAATGTTAGCAGTAACTATGTCTAGTCTTGGTTGTCAGAACCTCCCAAGCTAGTAGTTGTTTGTATCCGAGATTCTAGGTCGAAGTGTCGTTCCCGTGGTCGACTGGTTTCGTGTCCGATGTACTGGGAGCTGTATGGTATGGGAGTTTGTGATGTTTCCGAGGTGGTAGACTGAGCAATTTTAGGATAGAGGACTTACGTACTCATTGAGTCACGGAGCAATTGAGTAAGATTTGCTGGTAGTGTTGCATCTTTGCATTGTAATTGTTTAGTTATACAAAGTTCACGCTAAATTTACTTAAAATCCTTGTGCTTGCACCAAACTCACCGGCTCGTCCATTCTCAACATTCGCAGATGCGCAAACTTGTGGCAAGAGTCGCTACACGTCGAGACCATGTATCGTACCACAACTTGACGGACAGTGACATTGTCGAAGGAGATGACAAGGATGTCGTGAGCATGAATCTGGCCGAAAATGAGGATGTTGAAGTGACGAAAATGCTTGCACTTGGCAACCGAGCTCTTTTCGACATGACAGTTCCAGAGACACCAGCAAGGTAAGTCAGACTTCCCCTTATACAGTGTTGAAGGATTGTTCTTGGTGGTGGGAATACGGACCAAATGCTTAGACGCATGGAGCAGGCTGAGGCTGTTAAACAAAAACTGGAATTCCAGTTCTTCCAGATAAAGGATGAGCTAGGTATGCATATCTTTTTATCATATTCCCTCCCCCCTAGAGAAGACACGGGTCAAGGTGAACTCCTTCAAGGATACAGAAGATGAGTTGAGAGCAGAGAATCGTGACTTGTCCTCTCGTCTGAAGTCCGAGCAAAAATTAATGCACGAATACAAGATTCAAGCGAACATTTACAATCACTTGTTGCGTTCGGCTAGAGATCAAATGGATCGTGTCCTGTTCGACATCAACAAGCAGTTTGATAAGGAGATGGCAAAGCGCGAGAGCGAGAAGGCTGCAGCTGATGCCGAGAAAGTTAAGACTGAGGAGGAAGGAGATAAACAGAAGGCCGATGAAAAAGTAAGTCGGTAAACACCTGACGACATATTCTTTTAGGATGCCAAGGTTGAGGATGGAGAGAAATCTGAGGAGAAAGAGTGGGAAGTCGTTGATGCTGTTTAATTCGGGATATTGCATTTACTGTGAAGCATTCGGTTACTAACCCTCTTACGGATCTACATCATTTTATCGAAACAACTTTGCCATGCACTTCAAATATACTGCATAAGTTTTTCAAATTCAGGCTTCTGAGAGTATTCGTTCCGTGGTGTCTGTGCGTGTCGTATGTCACGCACGTGAAAAACGTTCCCAGTTGTCTAGTCACATATCTGCCTGTCTCCGATTTTAGGGGGAACACTAGTGGTCGGTGTTAACCCGCATCAATGAATCCACTAAATCGTGTTAGCACTTCTGGTACACACGTGCTTGTAGTGATTCAACTTGTAAGTTTGGAAGGTGTGACTGGTGGGCGAATCGCATAGCTGGCGTACTACCTACAGGACGAGCTTGATTCGCAATTGCAGGGGATGGCTTGTTTAGGGCACTTTCGACACTAGGATAGGAACAGCAAAGTTCTTAAGGTTTCAGGAATGACTAGAAGGTCAGTTTTGAGCAATGATGAGAATAGTAGGCCAATTCGGCCGCAGTTTATCCCATGAGTATTGTTGGTTTGAAGAGGTTCAGTGATGTGACGCTGCGATGAGCAGACAGCTGGGTGGTCGCATTCTATCGCAGGTTTAACCCGCACCTTGCAAGTACGCGTCTTGCGTGCAAGAGTAAGTTTGTCGCTACGCGTGACCACTCGATTGGTTTTATATTCAGTTTGGGAAAAATGTCGCACTGCATAGGATAGATATTATAATGTGTCTCGGAGAATCGCATAGGATTCAACGTAGACGTTGGCGTACAAGATTGTCCGGGGAATGCCTTCACGATAAGGGTAATATAGTCCGAGTAAGATGGAATGTGATCTGCTTTGATACTGATGACTAGTGGGACTTCTCAAGGCGTGGTGCTGGGGTCTGCTTTGTTCCTGCTCTATATTTATGAATCTCCAGGATTGCCTGAGTCGTTGTCCCAACTATTTGCGGGAGACGTTCAGTTTTGGAGGACTTCGTGATAATGATGATAAGTCAGCACTCCAAACTAGCTTCGATTAAATGACGGGATAATTTAGACGTTGTAGCCTGCAAATCAACTCCGACGAAAGCAAAGTGGAGCACCTTGGTCCAGAGTCATATCACTCTTATTCACAAGGTCGGGGACACTGCCCTTCAATGGGGAACAAAAAGAATCAAGGGGTTACGGTTGGCCACAAGTTGGAAGTGTCGGCACGCTGTAATGTCGACTCGGTCAATGCATTCTGTGTGCTACGGTATCTTGGTAGGGCGTTTAGGTGCTTGACGAAGAAATATTTAGGATAATAGCCTGGATACATAGGGCCTAGCCAGAAGTGGCACGCAAGTAAACAGCCTTTGCCCAGAGTAGCAGGCAGACACCGTGAAACGTGTGAAACGAGTGGGTGCCAAGCTAGAGACGGGGCCTTGGCGCACCTCCCCTGTTTAAGGTGATCGGAATGTTTGAATCTTCCATTTTCATATCACAGGAAAGGGGGAAGATCTCATATTGGTGCATCGTATCCGGAATGACGGTTCGGGCGTCAATTTCTGAAGTTTTTTCTGCTCTGCAATTGATTATTCAGGATGTCATGACAAAAGGTTCAAAATCCACTGCCGAACAAACTATGAGTTGAGGCCAGATTCTCTCACAGGGTAGTCAGCGATTGGAACCTATTACCAAAATTTGTGATAGATGCTCGGTGAATACTTTAAAGAGAAAACTGGATCTCCAAAATGTCAAGATGGATACAGGCTACTGAGCCTATTATCCATAAAAGTGAAAAATTGAAAACTGGCTTATTTGCTCCAGATATTCTTTCTCACGATGGGGTTTCTTCAGTCAAAGAAGAAGATTATTAGACCTGGTTTCAAGCACAAAATAAACCCAGGTGGTTATTTTCACAGGTCGACTCGTTGTCCAGGCATCGAACATTGGATGTTGAAACTTCTTACACTCTGTGGCCTGTGTTTTAACCTTCTCACTTCAGTCACATCATTTCCGCTGGTACTAAAATGGCGAGTCGATGGAGTCGTAATGGTAAAGATAGTTTCATTCTTCCATCTTACTTTTCCATTATTATTTGCTTGTACTAATTTCGAAAAATGTTTTTAGCACCTTATGGTGGTGGTGCAGGTGGCGGCGGTAGTGGTGGCTATATGGGCTCTGGGGTTGGAGGTGTAGGATTCTATATGGGTGGACCTTCACCGATTGACCGTAGACCTTATAATGCTGCCTCCATTCCTAAGCCTTTCTATGGTGGATATCGGGATGATAACTACAATAGACGATCGGACCGACGTGACGATTTTCGTGGCGGTAAGCGTGGTCAGCCGAAAGGTCGTAGTCCGGAGAAACGTTACCATGACAGTCCGTCAGCCCAGCGTAAAGACCTCAGACCTTATGGGAAACGTCAGTCATCCTTTGCACGCTATGAAGTGAAGATTCCGAAAAGTCTGTTCAATGTATCATCGTCATCACTACCTGATCTTCGACATCGCTACCCTCGTCTCAATATATCTGCAGACTTCTACGAATGCACATCCTCATGGGTGGATTCATTCCCCATGCACAAGCCGTTTGAACTAGGAAGTGGGACTGATTACCATGTAAGTCTCATCCATATGTTGTGACGTCTCCACCAGGTTTTCCATCGGGACGTTGATCCTCCCACTCAGCCCGACTCCGCTCTCCTGGTTCCTCCTGACGCCGACTATTCCTACTCAGCTAGGGTTATGCTAATGGCATGCCCACAACTCGGTGAGTTATATAAGAATACTTGTCGTATGGCCGACGATGCTAGTGGAGCTGACAAGGTTCTTCCCGACAAGAGTATACACTTCTTGGTCGGTGGTCGTGCGAAAAGTGAGACTATGGCCCTTGGTGGACCCTGGTCACCAAGCCTAGACGGACCCGATCCGCTGGGAGATCCAAGGACACTTATCAACACAGCTATCCGGACGTTCAAAGGCTTGACTGGATTAGACTTGTCCTCTTGCACCGAATGGTTATTCCAATTAAATTACCTATTTACACTTACTTTGCAGGGTCAGGTTCATGGAGCTCAAGTATTATCGTATGCCTGACACCAAAGCCCCAGCTTTCACAGAAGCTGAGGAAGAAAGAGATATCACGTCAGAGCGTCCCGAGGTTGTGGTGTTCTTCATACCTAACGCAGCTCATCTACTTCCATCAGAAGAACAGTGGGCTAAAACCAAGGAATACTACAACTCTATACTACAGAAACTGTTGACCGATGAAAAGGCTGAGCAGGATGGAGTGCCTGAGCAGGCAGATGGAGAGGCAAGCGTTGCAGATGCGAGTATGGATGAACCTGAAGAGTCGGGCACACGCTCAGATATGGAGCCAACCCACTATTCGAAACTCGATGTAAATACCTTGAAGGTAAGTTATTGCTCACCGCCTGACGTTCTTTTCAGGTTAATGACTTGCGTAACGAACTGGCGGCTAGGAAGTTGGATACTAAGGGCCTTAAAGTTAATCTAGTGGCCCGCTTACAGAGTGCTCTGGATGAGGAGAAGAAAGCAGATGCCCCGGAAGATTTACAGGTTGATGAGGAGTCCAAAGGTAAATGATGGCAGCTTTTGCGCGCTCTTTTGCAGTAATTAAGAGTTAATAGGACCACAAGAACGGCTGTGGATGTTTTTATTGTGATAATTAACCAAACAAATGGTTATGAAACTCATATCGCCCTTCTTTCTGCTTGTATTCAGCCGAACAGACTCCGAATAAGACCGCTTCGCCGTCTGCGACGCAATCAAAGGATGATTCAAAGGATCTCTCTGAAAAAGAACGCCGGCGTCTGGAACGCCTCTACCGTCTTGGTGATAAGCCAGCCATCGTAATCCATCCAAACAAGTCCGCTAAGGGAGGTCGTTTCGACTGCCATCGTGTTTCTTTGTTCTCTCTCCTCGACTATCGTACCGAAGACCAAAAAGAGCACAACTTTGAAGTGTCCCTGTTCGCTGAACAGTTCCATGAAATGCTCCAGCGAGATGCAGCCTTCACAATATTCAAGGCGATTCACGATGCGCCTGAGAAGGAAATTAAACCTGAACAAGATGGAAAGTACGACGATATTCTGCGTAACGTAGATGTATTTAGGTCACAATTATTAATTAGTTGATCTGCCCTTCCAGATTGTCGTTGTCCAATAGCTGGCGCGTCATGATTGGATAGGCATTATGTACTATGCATTTTTCATGTTCCTCCTGTCTCTTTTCCAGACATAATGCAGATTTCTATTTTACAGACTGGAGAATGGCATCGATTCTGACGACAAAGAACCTGATGCCAAGAGGCGCAGAAATGACAGTCAGAATGGTCACGATGACGACGAGGATGCCAAAGTGCGTCGTCTCAGGCGTACTGTCAACCCAGCCCTCCTATTCGCGTTCACTTACTTCGATATGGGCCGTGCTGGGTATATTCGAGAACATGATTTGTGCGAAATTCTCCATCTCTTGGGTCTGAGGTATTCTCGCGCTCAGGTGAGTTGACTTTTTATGATAAGCTAGCGGCCTGACACAAGGTGCCCCTTGAATGTTAGCAGTAACTATGTCTAGTCTTGGTTGTCAGAACCTCCCAAGCTAGTAGTTGTTTGTATCCGAGATTCTAGGTCGAAGTGTCGTTCCCGTGGTCGACTGGTTTCGTGTCCGATGTACTGGGAGCTGTATGGTATGGGAGTTTGTGATGTTTCCGAGGTGGTAGACTGAGCAATTTTAGGATAGAGGACTTACGTACTCATTGAGTCACGGAGCAATTGAGTAAGATTTGCTGGTAGTGTTGCATCTTTGCATTGTAATTGTTTAGTTATACAAAGTTCACGCTAAATTTACTTAAAATCCTTGTGCTTGCACCAAACTCACCGGCTCGTCCATTCTCAACATTCGCAGATGCGCAAACTTGTGGCAAGAGTCGCTACACGTCGAGACCATGTATCGTACCACAACTTGACGGACAGTGACATTGTCGAAGGAGATGACAAGGATGTCGTGAGCATGAATCTGGCCGAAAATGAGGATGTTGAAGTGACGAAATGCTTGCACTTGGCAACCGAGCTCTTTTCGACATGACAGTTCCAGAGACACCAGCAAGGTAAGTCAGACTTCCCCTTATACAGTGTTGAAGGATTGTTCTTGGTGGTGGGAATACGGACCAAATGCTTAGACGCATGGAGCAGGCTGAGGCTGTTAAACAAAAACTGGAATTCCAGTTCTTCCAGATAAAGGATGAGCTAGGTATGCATATCTTTTTATCATATTCCCTCCCCCCTAGAGAAGACACGGGTCAAGGTGAACTCCTTCAAGGATACAGAAGATGAGTTGAGAGCAGAGAATCGTGACTTGTCCTCTCGTCTGAAGTCCGAGCAAAAATTAATGCACGAATACAAGATTCAAGCGAACATTTACAATCACTTGTTGCGTTCGGCTAGAGATCAAATGGATCGTGTCCTGTTCGACATCAACAAGCAGTTTGATAAGGAGAAGGCAAAGCGCGAGAGCGAGAAGGCTGCAGCTGATGCCGAGAAAGTTAAGACTGAGGAGGAAGGAGATAAACAGAAGGCCGATGAAAAAGTAAGTCGGTAAACACCTGACGACATATTCTTTTAGGATGCCAAGGTTGAGGATGGAGAGAAATCTGAGGAGAAAGAGTGGGAAGTCGTTGATGCTGTTTAATTCGGGATATTGCATTTACTGTGAAGCATTCGGTTACTAACCCTCTTACGGATCTACATCATTTTATCGAAACAACTTTGCCATGCACTTCAAATATACTGCATAAGTTTTTCAAATTCAGGCTTCTGAGAGTATTCGTTCCGTGGTGTCTGTGCGTGTCGTATGTCACGCACGTGAAAAACGTTCCCAGTTGTCTAGTCACATATCTGCCTGTCTCCGATTTTAGGGGGAACACTAGTGGTCGGTGTTAACCCGCATCAATGAATCCACTAAATCGTGTTAGCACTTCTGGTACACACGTGCTTGTAGTGATTCAACTTGTAAGTTTGGAAGGTGTGACTGGTGGGCGAATCGCATAGCTGGCGTACTACCTACAGGACGAGCTTGATTCGCAATTGCAGGGGATGGCTTGTTTAGGGCACTTTCGACACTAGGATAGGAACAGCAAAGTTCTTAAGGTTTCAGGAATGACTAGAAGGTCAGTTTTGAGCAATGATGAGAATAGTAGGCCAATTCGGCCGCAGTTTATCCCATGAGTATTGTTGGTTTGAAGAGGTTCAGTGATGTGACGCTGCGATGAGCAGACAGCTGGGTGGTCGCATTCTATCGCAGGTTTAACCCGCACCTTGCAAGTACGCGTCTTGCGTGCAAGAGTAAGTTTGTCGCTACGCGTGACCACTCGATTGGTTTTATATTCAGTTTGGGAAAAATGTCGCACTGCATAGGATAGATATTATAATGTGTCTCGGAGAATCGCATAGGATTCAACGTAGACGTTGGCGTACAAGATTGTCCGGGGAATGCCTTCACGATAAGGGTAATATAGTCCGAGTAAGATGGAATGTGATCTGCTTTGATACTGATGACTAGTGGGACTTCTCAAGGCGTGGTGCTGGGGTCTGCTTTGTTCCTGCTCTATATTTATGAATCTCCAGGATTGCCTGAGTCGTTGTCCCAACTATTTGCGGGAGACGTTCAGTTTTGGAGGACTTCGTGATAATGATGATAAGTCAGCACTCCAAACTAGCTTCGATTAAATGACGGGATAATTTAGACGTTGTAGCCTGCAAATCAACTCCGACGAAAGCAAAGTGGAGCACCTTGGTCCAGAGTCATATCACTCTTATTCACAAGGTCGGGGACACTGCCCTTCAATGGGGAACAAAAAGAATCAAGGGGTTACGGTTGGCCACAAGTTGGAAGTGTCGGCACGCTGTAATGTCGACTCGGTCAATGCATTCTGTGTGCTACGGTATCTTGGTAGGGCGTTTAGGTGCTTGACGAAGAAATATTTAGGATAATAGCCTGGATACATAGGGCCTAGCCAGAAGTGGCACGCAAGTAAACAGCCTTTGCCCAGAGTAGCAGGCAGACACCGTGAAACGTGTGAAACGAGTGGGTGCCAAGCTAGAGACGGGGCCTTGGCGCACCTCCCCTGTTTAAGGTGATCGGAATGTTTGAATCTTCCATTTTCATATCACAGGAAAGGGGGAAGATCTCATATTGGTGCATCGTATCCGGAATGACGGTTCGGGCGTCAATTTCTGAAGTTTTTTCTGCTCTGCAATTGATTATTCAGGATGTCATGACAAAAGGTTCAAAATCCACTGCCGAACAAACTATGAGTTGAGGCCAGATTCTCTCACAGGGTAGTCAGCGATTGGAACCTATTACCAAAATTTGTGATAGATGCTCGGTGAATACTTTAAAGAGAAAACTGGATCTCCAAAATGTCAAGATGGATACAGGCTACTGAGCCTATTATCCATAAAAGTGAAAAATTGAAAACTGGCTTATTTGCTCCAGATATTCTTTCTCACGATGGGGTTTCTTCAGTCAAAGAAGAAGATTATTAGACCTGGTTTCAAGCACAAAATAAACCCAGGTGGTTATTTTCACAGGTCGACTCGTTGTCCAGGCATCGAACATTGGATGTTGAAACTTCTTACACTCTGTGGCCTGTGTTTTAACCTTCTCACTTCAGTCACATCATTTCCGCTGGTACTAAAATGGCGAGTCGATGGAGTCGTAATGGTAAAGATAGTTTCATTCTTCCATCTTACTTTTCCATTATTATTTGCTTGTACTAATTTCGAAAAATGTTTTTAGCACCTTATGGTGGTGGTGCAGGTGGCGGCGGTAGTGGTGGCTATATGGGCTCTGGGGTTGGAGGTGTAGGATTCTATATGGGTGGACCTTCACCGATTGACCGTAGACCTTATAATGCTGCCTCCATTCCTAAGCCTTTCTATGGTGGATATCGGGATGATAACTACAATAGACGATCGGACCGACGTGACGATTTTCGTGGCGGTAAGCGTGGTCAGCCGAAAGGTCGTAGTCCGGAGAAACGTTACCATGACAGTCCGTCAGCCCAGCGTAAAGACCTCAGACCTTATGGGAAACGTCAGTCATCCTTTGCACGCTATGAAGTGAAGATTCCGAAAAGTCTGTTCAATGTATCATCGTCATCACTACCTGATCTTCGACATCGCTACCCTCGTCTCAATATATCTGCAGACTTCTACGAATGCACATCCTCATGGGTGGATTCATTCCCCATGCACAAGCCGTTTGAACTAGGAAGTGGGACTGATTACCATGTAAGTCTCATCCATATGTTGTGACGTCTCCACCAGGTTTTCCATCGGGACGTTGATCCTCCCACTCAGCCCGACTCCGCTCTCCTGGTTCCTCCTGACGCCGACTATTCCTACTCAGCTAGGGTTATGCTAATGGCATGCCCACAACTCGGTGAGTTATATAAGAATACTTGTCGTATGGCCGACGATGCTAGTGGAGCTGACAAGGTTCTTCCCGACAAGAGTATACACTTCTTGGTCGGTGGTCGTGCGAAAAGTGAGACTATGGCCCTTGGTGGACCCTGGTCACCAAGCCTAGACGGACCCGATCCGCTGGGAGATCCAAGGACACTTATCAACACAGCTATCCGGACGTTCAAAGGCTTGACTGGATTAGACTTGTCCTCTTGCACCGAATGGTTATTCCAATTAAATTACCTATTTACACTTACTTTGCAGGGTCAGGTTCATGGAGCTCAAGTATTATCGTATGCCTGACACCAAAGCCCCAGCTTTCACAGAAGCTGAGGAAGAAAGAGATATCACGTCAGAGCGTCCCGAGGTTGTGGTGTTCTTCATACCTAACGCAGCTCATCTACTTCCATCAGAAGAACAGTGGGCTAAAACCAAGGAATACTACAACTCTATACTACAGAAACTGTTGACCGATGAAAAGGCTGAGCAGGATGGAGTGCCTGAGCAGGCAGATGGAGAGGCAAGCGTTGCAGATGCGAGTATGGATGAACCTGAAGAGTCGGGCACACGCTCAGATATGGAGCCAACCCACTATTCGAAACTCGATGTAAATACCTTGAAGGTAAGTTATTGCTCACCGCCTGACGTTCTTTTCAGGTTAATGACTTGCGTAACGAACTGGCGGCTAGGAAGTTGGATACTAAGGGCCTTAAAGTTAATCTAGTGGCCCGCTTACAGAGTGCTCTGGATGAGGAGAAGAAAGCAGATGCCCCGGAAGATTTACAGGTTGATGAGGAGTCCAAAGGTAAATGATGGCAGCTTTTGCGCGCTCTTTTGCAGTAATTAAGAGTTAATAGGACCACAAGAACGGCTGTGGATGTTTTTATTGTGATAATTAACCAAACAAATGGTTATGAAACTCATATCGCCCTTCTTTCTGCTTGTATTCAGCCGAACAGACTCCGAATAAGACCGCTTCGCCGTCTGCGACGCAATCAAAGGATGATTCAAAGGATCTCTCTGAAAAAGAACGCCGGCGTCTGGAACGCCTCTACCGTCTTGGTGATAAGCCAGCCATCGTAATCCATCCAAACAAGTCCGCTAAGGGAGGTCGTTTCGACTGCCATCGTGTTTCTTTGTTCTCTCTCCTCGACTATCGTACCGAAGACCAAAAAGAGCACAACTTTGAAGTGTCCCTGTTCGCTGAACAGTTCCATGAAATGCTCCAGCGAGATGCAGCCTTCACAATATTCAAGGCGATTCACGATGCGCCTGAGAAGGAAATTAAACCTGAACAAGATGGAAAGTACGACGATATTCTGCGTAACGTAGATGTATTTAGGTCACAATTATTAATTAGTTGATCTGCCCTTCCAGATTGTCGTTGTCCAATAGCTGGCGCGTCATGATTGGATAGGCATTATGTACTATGCATTTTTCATGTTCCTCCTGTCTCTTTTCCAGACATAATGCAGATTTCTATTTTACAGACTGGAGAATGGCATCGATTCTGACGACAAAGAACCTGATGCCAAGAGGCGCAGAAATGACAGTCAGAATGGTCACGATGACGACGAGGATGCCAAAGTGCGTCGTCTCAGGCGTACTGTCAACCCAGCCCTCCTATTCGCGTTCACTTACTTCGATATGGGCCGTGCTGGGTATATTCGAGAACATGATTTGTGCGAAATTCTCCATCTCTTGGGTCTGAGGTATTCTCGCGCTCAGGTGAGTTGACTTTTTATGATAAGCTAGCGGCCTGACACAAGGTGCCCCTTGAATGTTAGCAGTAACTATGTCTAGTCTTGGTTGTCAGAACCTCCCAAGCTAGTAGTTGTTTGTATCCGAGATTCTAGGTCGAAGTGTCGTTCCCGTGGTCGACTGGTTTCGTGTCCGATGTACTGGGAGCTGTATGGTATGGGAGTTTGTGATGTTTCCGAGGTGGTAGACTGAGCAATTTTAGGATAGAGGACTTACGTACTCATTGAGTCACGGAGCAATTGAGTAAGATTTGCTGGTAGTGTTGCATCTTTGCATTGTAATTGTTTAGTTATACAAAGTTCACGCTAAATTTACTTAAAATCCTTGTGCTTGCACCAAACTCACCGGCTCGTCCATTCTCAACATTCGCAGATGCGCAAACTTGTGGCAAGAGTCGCTACACGTCGAGACCATGTATCGTACCACAACTTGACGGACAGTGACATTGTCGAAGGAGATGACAAGGATGTCGTGAGCATGAATCTGGCCGAAAATGAGGATGTTGAAGTGACGAAATGCTTGCACTTGGCAACCGAGCTCTTTTCGACATGACAGTTCCAGAGACACCAGCAAGGTAAGTCAGACTTCCCCTTATACAGTGTTGAAGGATTGTTCTTGGTGGTGGGAATACGGACCAAATGCTTAGACGCATGGAGCAGGCTGAGGCTGTTAAACAAAAACTGGAATTCCAGTTCTTCCAGATAAAGGATGAGCTAGGTATGCATATCTTTTTATCATATTCCCTCCCCCCTAGAGAAGACACGGGTCAAGGTGAACTCCTTCAAGGATACAGAAGATGAGTTGAGAGCAGAGAATCGTGACTTGTCCTCTCGTCTGAAGTCCGAGCAAAAATTAATGCACGAATACAAGATTCAAGCGAACATTTACAATCACTTGTTGCGTTCGGCTAGAGATCAAATGGATCGTGTCCTGTTCGACATCAACAAGCAGTTTGATAAGGAGAAGGCAAAGCGCGAGAGCGAGAAGGCTGCAGCTGATGCCGAGAAAGTTAAGACTGAGGAGGAAGGAGATAAACAGAAGGCCGATGAAAAAGTAAGTCGGTAAACACCTGACGACATATTCTTTTAGGATGCCAAGGTTGAGGATGGAGAGAAATCTGAGGAGAAAGAGTGGGAAGTCGTTGATGCTGTTTAATTCGGGATATTGCATTTACTGTGAAGCATTCGGTTACTAACCCTCTTACGGATCTACATCATTTTATCGAAACAACTTTGCCATGCACTTCAAATATACTGCATAAGTTTTTCAAATTCAGGCTTCTGAGAGTATTCGTTCCGTGGTGTCTGTGCGTGTCGTATGTCACGCACGTGAAAAACGTTCCCAGTTGTCTAGTCACATATCTGCCTGTCTCCGATTTTAGGGGGAACACTAGTGGTCGGTGTTAACCCGCATCAATGAATCCACTAAATCGTGTTAGCACTTCTGGTACACACGTGCTTGTAGTGATTCAACTTGTAAGTTTGGAAGGTGTGACTGGTGGGCGAATCGCATAGCTGGCGTACTACCTACAGGACGAGCTTGATTCGCAATTGCAGGGGATGGCTTGTTTAGGGCACTTTCGACACTAGGATAGGAACAGCAAAGTTCTTAAGGTTTCAGGAATGACTAGAAGGTCAGTTTTGAGCAATGATGAGAATAGTAGGCCAATTCGGCCGCAGTTTATCCCATGAGTATTGTTGGTTTGAAGAGGTTCAGTGATGTGACGCTGCGATGAGCAGACAGCTGGGTGGTCGCATTCTATCGCAGGTTTAACCCGCACCTTGCAAGTACGCGTCTTGCGTGCAAGAGTAAGTTTGTCGCTACGCGTGACCACTCGATTGGTTTTATATTCAGTTTGGGAAAAATGTCGCACTGCATAGGATAGATATTATAATGTGTCTCGGAGAATCGCATAGGATTCAACGTAGACGTTGGCGTACAAGATTGTCCGGGGAATGCCTTCACGATAAGGGTAATATAGTCCGAGTAAGATGGAATGTGATCTGCTTTGATACTGATGACTAGTGGGACTTCTCAAGGCGTGGTGCTGGGGTCTGCTTTGTTCCTGCTCTATATTTATGAATCTCCAGGATTGCCTGAGTCGTTGTCCCAACTATTTGCGGGAGACGTTCAGTTTTGGAGGACTTCGTGATAATGATGATAAGTCAGCACTCCAAACTAGCTTCGATTAAATGACGGGATAATTTAGACGCTGTAGCCTGTAAATCAACTCCGACGAAAGCAAAGTGGAGCACCTTGGTCCAGAGTCATATCACTCTTATTCATAAGGTCGGGGACACTACCCTTCAATGGGGAACAAAAAGAATCAAGGGGTTACGGTTGGCCACAAGTTGGAAGTGTCGGCACGCTGTAATGTCGACTCGGTCAATGCATTCTGTGTGCTACGGTATCTTGGTAGGGCGTTTAGGTGCTTGACGAAGAAATATTTAGGATAATATCCTGGCCACGTATGGCCTCATAATGTGTTGTGTGTGGATGTTTGGTTTTTGGCTTTTTTGGCTTCTCATTTTCATGGTTTGTTGTGGATTTTGTAAGGTGTGGGTGTGTTTGGGATGAACCCGAAATATATGTGTGGTCAACTGCTAGTGGTGCGTTTTTACTAATGGTATAAATGGAATTTTGGTTCCGAGTAGACGGAAGTTGTTTGTTGCTGTAGGGTTTTGGCTTGGCGCTGTTTTTGCAGCAGTTATTAGCCGGACAGTTATTTTGAAGTGCCAATATGTGTTTGCGAACAATTGGCACGGTTTTTTTTAGGTGCGGGGTCTTTTTTGCCCGTTGTTGCGGGTTGATGTTCTGCACCACATTGTGAAAGGAAAACTGGAATTAAGTCTGCTTACTCGACCGGTTTAGGAGAAAACTTAGTACGTAATGTCGGTGGAGGTTGAATTCGTTTATCTGGATGTTACGGCTGTGCGCATACTGGGGAGACTTGGATTGATAACAAGCCTTCTATAGATACCACGTATTGATGAATGGTAGCCGGAACCTGTAGGTTATACAATGTCATTGGATATCCGCAGTGACATGTAAAGTGATTTGATGCGAGTAAACTGATTCCAGCTGGCCAGGAGCGCGTAAGGAATGTAATCATGACGGAAATGGGTAAAGAAATCGTCAAGTAACATCTGCCAATTATTCAGGATCACTAAGCATACCGGCAGGGAGAAGACGATTGTCACTTTAAATGAGGGGCGCCTATAATCCCTCTTAAAAGATGGCGTGAAGGTTGGGCGGAATACTCTGAAGCACATTTCAGGTGATAAGTATTCAGTCGAATATTGAAGAGCTCGTTGATGTAGGTTGTCGAACCCTGAAGCGATGCCATGTCGCAGGTATTTACGGTTTGCCACCAGAGGTTTATTAAAGTGGAGTTAGTTTATTACAATGACGGAGTTAGTTCGTCAAATAGGTCCACGTCACCTGTAATTCCAGTCTATGAGGATGGAGAGAATTCTACTTGTGATTACCACAGACGTATTGGTAGAATCATATGTAAATTTCTCATTTTAAGTGACGAAAACAGAATTTCCCCTGTCACCTTGTTTATGTTCGTTATAGACGTACTGGTGGATGTAACTCTAGGTTCCTCCGACTTTTGGGGTTATGGGCGTTCATCGACTGAGATGGCTTAGACATGGCATGCCAAGAAACTGCCTACCTCGACGTACCGTACTAGGGGTAGTTGGAAGACAGCTTCGTGTATCCATGATAGAGACAGCTTTAGTCGATAAAGTTCCCAACTATTAGTCTGAGTAGTATGCTGAGAAGTAGACTAGCTGGCTGGAGCCCCCCAAGACGATATGGATGAGTAATTGAGGACTCTTCGTTACATGGCTGAGAATCGGTCAGAATGGCGCAGATGTATTCATTCTTTGATGTCTTCTAAAGCTTGAATACTTGCATTAACGTTTATATTCAAATAGTTTATTTCCTCACACCACTTTGTTTGCTTTGATATCACTTTTTCTGTCCACTTGTTCTTTGTATACTACTGGAAAGTGTGGCAACTTGAAGCGATGCACGTGTGCAAGGTTTTACATTGTCTTAGTCTGCCTTTTCATCTGTTACACGGATTGAGATACTCCCTCGAGGTCACCTGGTTAACTCAGAGTATGCAGACGATATTGTCCTGTCAGATGCAGACGCCGACAAACTGCAAAGTCTTCTGAATGCCTTGAGCAGGGAACAGTATGTTTGGTGTGCTTCTTGCGTCTGTAAAATGGTGCTTCGGGCCTTGTATGATCCAGCTCCCAGTTGAGTGCTATGAAGTTAGGTCGTAGGATGCATTGACCACTTCAGTCACAAGGGGAGTTGCATCAGATAGAATGGGTTGGTTGTTGACGAGATCTCAGCGTCCATACTGAAGTCCTACTCAGCACTTGTCGATTAATGTGGTCTCTGACAGCGGAGATATATCTGACAATCTAATCGAGAACAGGTATACCATGTATTAGGTCGCTTTGTCGTAGTATACGGCTGTGAGATATAGCCGTTGTTAGTAGAAGACAAGAGATGACTGGTTTTTGACTATAAACGTCTTCGTAGCATTGGTCGGGTTGGGTGAATTTAGTATGTGGGCAATAATAAAATTAGCCTTCGAGTACTGTGCAAGGAAGGCAAGTCAGGTGGTGCGATTATATACTTTTGTCGACTGAGGTAGCTTAGAAATGTGTTGTGCGTGTGGAGCCACTGCTTTCTTCTACTTGCAGTACTGCACGTGCAGGATTATGTTGGGAATAGGAAGGCTCTGGGTAGATAAACCCGCATGTGGCACTAGTTCATGAGGTCGTTGACTGTTGGTCTGATCCATGCAGGTACGGGAAGATAAGTCTGGTTGGTTTCCTCAAGATTTTTAAAATCAATGCTTGGCGACCCTAAACAACATGGTTGTGAAACCGTTGCAATGACGCAGATGTATTTACTCTTTGGCATCATTTTGACGTTTGCACGAACTTCCCTTTTTTAAGTTCCCTCTTCTCTTATGCACTTTACATACTTTTACATCACTTTTTCTATCAACTTGTTCTCTGCATGCTGATGTGATATGTGTTAACTTGAACCAGTGCACTTCGCTGGAAGGTTGTACGTTGATCTGTCTACTTTTTAACTCTTCAGTGTTAGTGAGTGAGTGGTGATACACTCAAATTCTATTCCCACTCTACCAACTGCTGTTTAAGCTGAGATATTCTTGAAATTCGTTAAAACGAACCACTTTTTGTGCGAACTCATCCTAATAAGTACAACTTTAGTGTACATTACAATAAGGGTTGTATATAAATATAGAAGGACTATACTGCTGTTGTTATCTCTTGAGAGGGCCGGTGATAGATTGTGGCTGCCATTCATTGGTTACTGAAGAGTAACCGATTCCATGTTATCTAGTCCTAAGTGTTGATGGAATTCTATCGATTACTATGCAATCTAATCGCCAAGCTAGAAGACTTGTCACGGTGCCCTTAGATTGATGTTGGATATTTGGCGGCGGTGGGTAGGAAGCTCTGGATCTGGGTTTCCTGGTTGTTGAGAGTTGTCTGTAATTTCTTCTTGAGATCTGTAAGGGACTGGTGTTTCTTAGCAGGTTTATATGTATACATCGGTTACATACAATCGATGTGGCTGAGCTCGTTTAGCACATCACTCACACTCAGGAAGAAAAGAAAGCTATGGTGGATCAACCACCGACGAAATCTCTTCACTGATACAGAAGACTTGATTGGTTTTAGGCAAACTAGGCCGTCTATGGTGCCACTGTGATGTCTAACTGCCCACTGGATTGACCTCAAAGGCCACTTTAGCGACTGCTGAAATAACCAATCTGGTTTTGGTATTTCGGCTGGGAATGTAGTTTTCCAAAAAATAAAAGGATGCAATTGGTGATCTCGGCAATTGTGAAGCGCCTATTAGGCACTGAGTGTAATTCACCACGTTTCTCTGTTTTACTGTTATAATTATTGTAAATGCAGCTGTATACCTCGATAAGGAATTTTTTTGAGAAGAAATATTTCTTCCATGATACAAATCTGTTCTACTGTGAAGCTGTGGAAAACAGCTAATGAAGGTAGAGGACATGAGAACGTTTCAGGTGACTGACCATTGTCGCTTTTGTAATTCTTGTTGCGTTGTAGTGGCACGAC